TTGATGTTGGAATGTAGTAGAAATTCAATTAGCTTACCACACATGCAGATGTATAGAATTGAGTCAACAAATGTATTAGAATTTAATCAGCTTAGAAAATTAGTTTTACACTAAATTACATTATACATTTTAATTTGATAGGTCTCTTATGTTATTAATGTATATGTTTAATAAATATAATCAACCCCCGACCTCTGGACACAATATAGACCAGTCAAATGTAGATTACCAATATAAAATACACAGATCTGTAGATACCGAATTACTTAGAATAATATATAGACGGCTAAACATATGAAAACTCATTTCATGGAAGTAATACTGATATTGGAGAAACTCTGGACCAAGTGTATAGAAATCAAGGGAGATTATGTAAAAAATAAAATTATTTTTTTGAACTGAAAATACGAGTCTTTGATTGTCAGGGTGATAACTTTTCACCTTACCCTCGTATGTATTTTTTGACAGTATTTTCACCTTACCCTCGTATGTATTTTTTGACAGTATTTTCACCTTACCCTCGTATGTATTTTTTGACAGTATTTTCATCTTACCCTCGTATGTATTTTTTGACAGTATTTTCACCTTACCCTCGTATGTATTTTTTTACAGTATTTTCATCTTACTCTCGTATGTATTTTTTACAGTATTTTCACCTTACCCTCGTATGTATTTTTGACAGTATTTTTTATCTCACTCTCGTATGTATTGTTTAGCAATATTTTTACCAAGACGCGCGCGTGTCGCGGTCCAAAATGCCAAATTTTATATTAAAAAAAAAAGTGAGTTTGATGAGTTGAGTCTCTTGATTTGGCTTACTCCTTTAGTCTTCAACCATATATTTTGCTCACCATTTATGGTATGAACAATCTAGACCAGTGTTTCTCAACCTTCTTTTTCCGGCCCTGCGACCGTTAAATTGTGAAAAAAATTTACAGAATATTTTTTTACTAAACTTTTTTATATTTTAAAGAACAACTATATACGTTCAAATTATTCTTTCTTATTTTAAATCTAAATACTGAATTAAGGTATTTTTATAATCTACGAATTTTAAATATTATTTTTGACCGCATGAAGGTAAAAATCGAGGAATGGTCGAAACTCTCTCTGGGCCAATCGGCCGCACCAGCTGTTGAGAATCATTGAATCAGATGGATGGACAAGCTTCGCCCGGAATTTACCCGAATGAATGTTCAGCCCACCTATATTGTTTTCAATACAATTAGGACTTATCATTAAAATTATTTTATTATTTGTATTATAAAGGTGAAAAGAATAATCTCTCTGAGAGAATCAGGGAGAACGATGTCATATTGATTGAGTAAGTGCTGGAGAGATACAGAGACACCACCATAGACAGTCAATGTTGGAGGACCGTGGTGGAGAACAGCAGGAGAACGACCTTGAGATGGAGACTAGGAAAACTGACTAATGATAATGTAGATAGGAGTTATTGTAAATAGATAAAATATTATATGTAAATAAAATGACTATTCACTCTTACAATATCAAAGATGTATGAAATCGTTGAAAGTTGAATTGGTATTATAATAATTATATCTCCATAAAACTATTTTGTATCGTTATTATCATTATTATCAATAATCAATATTACAATGAGTGTTATATCATCACCGTGTTGGCGCTGGTGTGTATCCATTGTAGTTATCTCTTTAAGGCAATGTAACTTCAAAATTGATAAGAGAAAATACATGGGGGATAGATAACCTTGCATTTACAATGACGTGTGCCAATATCACGCCCACACCAATTCCATTTCAGAGAGCTATGCGGTATACCTATACACTTTAATTTTTATAGTATAGGTTCATATATATATATATATATATATATATATCAAGAGTAAATACGATAAAAATATTTTATAAAATTTCAATATAAAAATAATACCCAGTTTATTTCTAATACAAAGCAATAACGCGCCATCTATATATAAAGAATGAAAACATTAAGACGCGAATGTTTCTTTTCACAAATAAATCAAACTTCTACTGTCTTTACTGAGATGAAAAAAATATTGGGAGGGTTTGGCTAATTTTTATTAAAGTAAATAAGCAAGCTTTCGAAAAATTCCCCTCTTCTACGATTTATAATAAAAATAAAGAAGAAAATGAAACTACAAAAGAAAAGAAATGGAATAAGGCTTTTGCATACGGATGGTGCGTTGGCTCTATTTTAGAACTAACTATCAACATTTATTATTATTCATCCACACTTTGTGATTATGGGAAGGTAAATTGGAAACTGGATATGCATATAATATACTAGCCGAATGACCCGGGCAACGCCCGTGTTTTACCCGATTGAATATTTTGATTCAAATACTATTTGTTACAATTATAAATTGGCGCCTTAAATAAATGCATATTTTAGTTAATAACTATAGCCTATGTGCTTTATCTGTCTATGTACTGTTGGCTTCCGTAGGCGTCTCTTACTGGGAAAAAGAAAGAGAGGATTCCATTTGGTTATTAACTAATATATGCATTTATTTAAGGAGCGACCCGCTCCAACACAATAGGTACAGAAATGGGGGGGGGGGGGGGGGCAAAGGTGGCGTGATCGTAGCCGACCAATAGGAGGGCGCCATTCCAAAAAAAAAGCAAACCGTGACAGAGGCCACGCATGATGCTCGTAACTGTATATAGAATAATATATAGTTTTACTATAGTCCAATTCAACGCCAATATTTCTTCTTTGTTTTTTTTTTTTTCATTTTTAAAGCATTTCACTCTCTCCAGTCATATTTGTTATAATTCTTAAGAAAAACCAATTTGTTTGAAAGATTTCCTAATTTATCTACTAAAAGAAATTTAATTGTCAATTTTCTTTTGTAATTTTATATGAATCTAAAATAATGTTATGGGAACTGTACTCATTTCGAAAACTCCGCTCTCGTGACAATTTAGCCTTCAGTGGCCTTCAAATTGAAGATTATAGGTCAGGAAAAATATAGTTAACTTGAGATATATGTCGCGATGGTGTACAATTTGGTTCCAGATATCAGCAAACAACTTAATTGTTAAGTAAAATTAATCAGGCCTCCAGGGAAAAGTCTCTTTATAATTAATAAAATGGAATAAATAGAACGCCATCTATAATTGAAAATTTGAACTAATACGCGCGCATTTTGACAAACGAGGCGCGCGCGTTACATACATACTTCTTTACTTTTAATTGACACTTCGCCGGAATATTTATAAAGTGTTCGCGGAAGAACTCTACTCGATATTTAACTATATATTTGTCCTCAAAGCTGATTTCCATAATTTTATCAAGTATATTTGTGTTCTAAGATTATTCTTACGTGCTCCCGCATGTAGCAGTCCCTTAGAATTTTAGAGCGGTTTGACTGATTTGTTCATAAATTCACTACATTTATCTATAAATTTACCACATTTACCCATATAGTCACCATATTTGTCCATATAATAATCACATTTGTCCATATAGTCACCATATTTGTCCATATAATAATCACATTTGTCCATATAGTCACCACATTTGTCCATATAATAACAACATTTGCCCATATAGTCACCATATTTGTCCATATAATAATCACATTTGTCCATATAGTCACCATGTTTGTTCATATAATAACAACATTTGCCCATATAGTCACCATATTTGTCCATATAATAATCACATTTGTCCATATAGTCACCATATTTGTTCATATAATAACAACATTTGCCCATATAGTCACCACATTTGTCCATATAATAACAACATTTGCCCATATAGTCACCATATTTGTCCATATAATAATCACATTTGTCCCATATAGTCACCATATTTGTTCATATAATAACAACATTTGCCCATATAGTCACCATATTTGTCCATATAATAACAACATTTGCCCATATAGTCACCATATTTGTCCATATAATATTCACATTTGTCCATATAGTCACCATATTTGTCCATATAATAACAACATTTGCCCATATAGTCACCATATTTGTCCATATAATAATCACATTTGTCCATATAGTCACCATATTTGTTCATATAATAACAACATTTGCCCATATAGTCACCATATTTGTCCATATAGTCACCATATTTGTCCATATAGTCACCATATTTGTTCATATAATAACAACATTTGTCCATATAGTCACCATATTTGTCCATATAGTCACCACATTTGTCCACACATATAGCAAAAAACATATTTGTCCATATAATTACCATAATTATCCATACACCATATTTGCCAAAATAGTCACCAAAAGTCGAACTTGACTTGAAGGACGCTAACAACAACTTGTTACTTAAACCGGCGAAATCGCTGGGAGGTTAATAACTAATTGGCCGCCTCTATACGAGGCTCCTCGTATTGGCCTCCTTTATATTTAGACAGTATGGAGACAGTAGGAAGTGTCTCAACTCTAAATATGCACACCAATTTGTTCTAATTCTCAAAAATTCACTCACTCTCCCTATGAATTCGTTGTTAATGTACATATGGAAGAACTAGGGTAACAAGAATTGAAACTATTTAACACGTTTTTAATCATAAATAGAGAAAACCTTTCTTGTTCTTACTGCGATTTTATAACATTGGGGTTTGTCCTTCGCAGTGAGGTCAGTAGGGAGATGCTCTTTAAAAAAAAACCCGCACAAAATAGTTTGGAGTCTTTAATACAGATGGCGCGCGTTAATGGCTTATATTCGAATTAAAGGTTTCTGATCAATTTATAAAGAAATATATTTGGGGGTTCATCGTATAGAACATTGTATTTAACACTTGTTTATATGAATTCATCATTCAGTCTGTTAATTAAAAAGTAAAAAAGCTATATTTACGAATTATAAAACGACATTCGAAAATTGTCCCGCATGAGTTTCTTTTCAATGAAAAATCAAAATTTATTTAAGGAGAAATAACGATTAATTCTAACCTTAAAGATGAGGTATGAAAGGATGAACTGTGAAGGAGTAATGATAAACGGAAAAATAAAAGTGTCCAGGGATGGAAACCCACAGTGTTCCGCTTACCGGGCAGATGCCATGTCCACTAGGCTACCCTGGACATATTTTTCCGTTAATAAATAATACATATAGTAATTTATAATACAATATAATATAATGCGGCTTGTGATTGTAAAACGACATTCGAAAATTATCCCGCATGAGTTTCTTTTCAATGAAAAATCAAAATTTATTTTAAGGAGAAATAACGATTATTTCTAACCTTAAAGATGAGGTATGAAAGGATGAACTGTGAAGAGTAATTCCCATCCCTGGACACTTTTATTTTTCCGTTTATCATTACTCTTCACAGTTCATCCTTTTATACCTCAACTTTAAGGTTAGAAATGATCGTTATTTCTATTTAAAATACATTTTGATTTTTCATTGAAAAGAAACACATGCGGGATAGTATTTCAAATGTCGTTTTACAATCACAAGCCGCATTATATTATATTGTATTATAAATTTACAAGTATATATAATATTTATTTATATTGATTGGAATATAGCGTAATCCAACTATGTTTAAATATGACCAATAACGAGATATATTTTATATTTTTAAGTCATAGATTTAAATCATAAATATGTTTCGTTATTGATTCTCTACCTATAAATAAAAACATATATTGGATTAAATAAAAGTATTTATTTGCCAATATAATACACGTTCTATGTTGACGACCGCCAACAGCGCGAAACGCGTTCGTCAATGGCTTTTTCTTGATTATCAAGAAATTGGTTGGCCAAATATCACGGAGCAAGTTAAATAAACGTTTAGTTTATTTTTGCTCCACTAGATGGCGCTCTGCCATCTAAAAAGCACATGTGCTCGTGTTCAGGATATGCTTCCTTTATTTTTAAATAATACATTGTATATACACAATGTCCCTTGTGACTGGTATACCACATTTGGTTATTACTAATATCCATAATGGCGGAAATCCCAACAGACGATTATGGGGAAAACTCTGATTATACTCATGCCCATGGCTCATATCAATATCATTGTGTCAGCTTTAGTTTTATTTATTGTATTATTGACTCGTGTCCCTTATTGGTCCATCGGTGTAAAAATAAATTCAAGTCCCCTACTATTTAACTTAAAAAACATCCTTTAGCCACTGATGTATTTAAAAGAAAAATTCATTTGCTGAGTCATCACCCCACAAACCTTCGTTGATACGACCACTTGATACAATAATAGCTATTTTTTTTTAATTTCTGATGACCAACTTCTCACCTAAATTTGCATGTAATTATATTTTCTAAACTATGTGCAACAGCGTATCTAATATTAAAAATATTTCTAATATTTAAAACAAGTTGGTTGCGATTGAAGGCAGCAACTAGTGAATTTCCTGGAAATAAAATTTGAGATGAAAAAAAGGTAATATTCCAATTCACACGTAACTACTAAAAATTCTGTTTCCCACAGAAAGCCAAACCTATCTAAGGAAATCTCGAAAATGGAATTCATAATAAAAGCATAAATTATACATTTCCGATATTTTATAAGAATAAAATGATATTTTTTATTTAAAAAAAGAAGGGAATTCCTAAAATGCGTAGAGACCATACTCTAGAGCTCATGATCATCTACAGGGCAATCAAATCTGGTTGGCCATTAAACAGGACAGTATCCCTTTTATAATAGAAAGGTGGTTCAAGAGATGCTATTTGGCGAGAAACCATCAGGTTTAAGATAAAATAAAAAGATTTATAATAATCCAACATATTTTAACAATGGTAAACGATTTCAGCACGCATATTTCATAGACTGATATTTGGGGAAAAAGGATGGCAGGGCATCCAAAAGACATATATTAAGTAATATCAAACCAATGTTTTGGAATAAGAGAATGAAGGACTGTTTAGAGAGAATCAAGTATCTTTACAAACGAAAATATTGGAACAATTTGTTTTTAACTTACAAAGGGCCAATAAGTTAATGCGTTATCGATGCGATTTAATCTTTCTCTGATAGAAACTATTAATATTTTAGTGTTTTCTCCGCGTGAAGATAGAGTGAAACTAGAACCCAACTAGAACCTCTAGAAATAAACATCACACCAAGACATTGACCTACCTGGATTAAAGAGAAGATCACAGATTACAAAGAAATAAGATCAGTCTATATTACAAGATGTATGATGGGTTAATCAAGAAAAAATGTAAAGTGTAAAGACAATAGACATTTGAATTTTATATAAGACTAAATATCTTGTTAAAAAATACAGAATAGGGAGCTAACCTTAGATGCCTATTTTCATCATCTGCCGTAAAAATAAAGAAAGTAACTTATTCAATGATGTGGGAGGAAGGTTGAAGACGTGAATAATAATGTAAAATGTAAATTTGGTGAAAATATAATAGTTTATGATATTCAAATTTGTCTTATCTTTGAAGCAAATTCTAAATATTAATATGTAAATATTAATTTGTTTTACTTGCAAATTGTGACTCAGCAGTCTACTATATATACAATTTCTAAAGCTAGATTTAGTGTTAAAAATCAGATTCGGATGAGAATAGGTTCGGATGCGTAGTGAACATAAGAAAAAAGAGGCCTTGCTAAAATTTCTAAATGTATTCAGACATATATGACATATATGCAAATAGTGATTCATCAGCATGTATATGTAACTATCTAAAGTTGACTTCAGTGTTAGAATCTGATTCTTAGGTTCGCGGATGCGAAGTGAACATTAGACGAGAAAAATGTCTTTCCACATTTTCTAAATTTATTTAATCCGGGGCGGACATATATGCAAATTGATATATCTTTACATTTGTAGATTTGTTTTATTTCTTTGTTTTGGAAATTTTATTTTTAAAATTTAAATAGTAATGGAATGAAGGCAAAGCTTGTCACATTGATAAAAGGTCGATTCAATTAGGATTCTACTGTCTCACACGCCTTATCTCTGTCTTCCTCGTCTACTAGTCCGTTTTAGTGATTTTTAATGCCTATAAGTCTCAGTGAGCCTCAGTCTTCCAATATGGAGATCATTAAGTAATTCTTAAAGAACTTGAAATACATGAGTGAATATCCGTTTTTAGAGCAACCCTGCCTAAAAACTATTACATATTCTACTACAGACGATTCCAACATTATATTAAATAGACGAGAAATAAACGAAGTTATTACTTAAAGTAGCATTATTGAAATATTCCCAAAATGTCTCTTCGAGAGATGTTCCTTAGATATAAAGTTCACACAAATTCCAATCTTTATATATGAATTCATTCAGGATAACTGAAATACATTACGTTATCAGATAAAATCTCTGCTAATATTTGTGGGGAAGGAGAAAAAAAAACACATTTTCTAGAAATCGAGAATGTCTATACAATTTAAATTAATGAACACGAGAAATAGAGGTCTCAAGAGAAAACTTAAAATTTATACACGGCAATAATAATTGAAGTTGATTTCCTATTTTGTATGGACATATTTATGATTATCATGTGATCTTTGCTCAGTAAATTTCTATTTACTATTAAAAACATATCGACACTGTACAACGTATTGCTCGTGTTTATTGAAGTCCTTCCTGTTGAGTCAGTACTTTTTCTATAGACCGCTTTATCTATAGACCATATAATATAAAACATATAAATACAAATAATTTTGAACATTCCTCACATTGTGAAGAAATAGTACAAATTTGATATTGTACTGGGATAAGTTGCATGAATTATAAAAAGGAGAGAAAAAAGAGATGCCTTTTTCTTTTTCATCATTTCTCACATTGTTGTTTCACATATCGCATTAAATGTTTTCAAGTATTTTATATCAAAATGTACATATGGATATATAGCAAAATATTTGGTTTCTACAAAAAATATTTTTTAAATTAAAATTTCGAATTAATTTTCTCACATACAAGAGAGAGAGAGATGGCGAAAAGAAAAAGGCATTCTATATACAGTTACGAGCGTCATTTTTCATCTCCTAATCATTCAACTCTGTCACCGTTTGCTTTTTTTTGGAATGGCGCCCTCCTATTGGTCGGCTACGATCACGCCACCTTTGCCCCCCACTCGCTTTTTCGTTTTTGTAACTATTGTGTTGGAGCGGGTCGCTCCTTAAATAAATGCATATATTAGTCAATAACCAAATGGAATCCTCTCTTTCTTTTTCCCAGTAAGAGACGCCTACGGAAGCCAACAGTACATAGACAGATAAAGCACATAGGCTATAGTTATTAACTAACATATGCATTTATTTAAGGCGCCAAATTATAATTGTAACAAATAGTATTTGAATCAAAACATTCAATCGGGTAAAACACGGGCGTTGCCCGGGTCATTCTGCTAGTATAGCATAAATACCACAAATAGAAAGTATTTCTTTATCGCATTGAATGTTGATATGTATAGAGAATATTGTGGAATTTCAACACACACACACACACACACACACACACACACAATTACAGAAACATTTTCTATAGTTTCGATAAACCTCATCAACAAGAGTAAACCTTCAAGTACAGATACTATATAAGAAGATTCAACATACAACAGTTGTAGCTTAATCTGGTGGATTGAATTGGCGAAATTACTGGGAAGGTTCACCACTAATAAGCCAATTCTTTATTATTTTTCCTATTTAATTCAATAATTGCAGATATTTGTCCTTTATTAAAGAAAAAAACAATAAAGTTTAATGTTTCCATCCTCTACATACTGACTATACTATGAGTAATGTTCAGTTAAATGTGTTTTAGGTATCAGTGTAGAAATAGGTATTGGAAAACAACTTCATCACGAATCAAACAACCAAATTTTACGGATTTACTCATACACTTAACTAGAAGTAAGCATAAAGAAACAACACAACGCTAGGCATTGTCATGAGCATCTTCCTTAGAATATTTTTCATATATTATAATAATTTTTAGTTCAACGAATAATTAAATTCCTACATGCTAAATATCGAATTGGTTTACTTTTAAGTACTATTAATACATCAAATATCTATATACATCAAATGAAGACATTAATACGCGAATGTTTCTTTTACAAATAAATCAAACTTCTACTGTCCTT